TTGCATCTCATTGTACTAACTTAAATTGCATATCACGGCAGACATCTCAAAATACATAGTCTTCTGGGGGCTAAGCATATATTTATACATTTTGGTAGAGAGGAATATAGGCCTACTGTCATATAGGTTATGTTATCGGGCATCCTTCTAATTCCCTTGAACAACCAAGATTGAACTTTTGAACTCTTTATAATTTCTATGATCTAGTCCAGTTAAAGTCCAGGGGAGGAAGCCCCATCATAGTAAAGAGGATACTAATGTGATGTGTGTAGTTCTTCATAGCCTCTTCATTTTGCTCTCAAAGTGCACGGAATTGATGGATTTTTAACAGAATGTAGAAAAAATTTCTCCCGGGGGGGCATGCCCCCGGACCCCCCTAAAGGGGCTGTGTTCCCCTTGGGGCTAAGCCCCCCTTGTTCTTGAAACCTAGTGACACCCCTGCATGACAGGGAAAAATAGTCAAATGTTTTCAATTTGCACCATTGATGCAGGGTTTGCCAAATGTGAGATTTTTTTTCAAGGGGCCGCTTGTGCTCACATCACCATTTTTTGATTATGCTTATAATTATGTTTTCTACATAATTCTGGCCATTGAGATTTAGATTTACTGCCACAGAAATCATCTGAAGGAGGTTTATGGAGTGTTTTGTTTGTTTGTTTGTTTTTTTTTTTGTTGATTTTTGCTTTTGGAGAGAGTTTATTAGTTTCTGACCAAATCCCAAACATGTCCATTTTTCACAGGCCTGGTCTTTTGGACTACAATATTTTGCACATTCATTCAGGAGCTGCTATTGGCCACAGCTCATGCTCAGTCAACCTTCAATCTTATATGATGTTCATTTAATCCCTTGAATCTCTGTTCCTTTTACTCTGTCCATCTCAAAGACATCACCTACAAAAAACATTTTTTTCCTATTTTCCACCATTTGTAGAGGTCATATTTTAACAAAAGCCGCCTATGAATTTGATCCTATCAATTTCTAAATTTGGGTGTTGAATCGAAAGATGTTGAAGCAAAAATTATCAAATGCTTTATATTTAATCAAATGCTGTTACCGTGGTGACATGTCAAGAAAAAAAAACATGTTTTTTCCAGGGTGCTGCACCCACAGAGTACGGCAGGGCACGGCCCGAAAAGGCAATATGGTTCCCCTCACCACTGTGAGAGGGGGCAAATGGGTCGGGTGCACTCTGAGCAGGGCGGCATCCGAAGGCAGGAAACTTGTCAGTCCGATCCCAGGCTCAAGTCTATTCAGGGGTGCTGGAGAGGAGGGTCCCTCACCTACGGTCACAAACTGTGGGTTGTGACTGAAAGAATAAGATCGCAAATACAAGCAGTTGAAATGAGTTTTCGCTGCAGGGTTTCCGAACTCTCCCTTAGACATAGTGTGAGAAACTGTCTTTCAGAAGGGGCACAGAGGACAGAACCTGCTCCCCCGCATTGAGAGGAGCCAGATGAGGTGGTTCGGACATCTGTTCAGAATGTCTCCTGGACGCCTCCCCAGTTGAGGTGTTATAGGCACATCCCATTGAGAAGAGACCGTGGAGATGACCCAGGATACAATGAAGGGAAAGTCTTGGCATTCCCTCGGAAGAGCTGGACGGAGTGGGTGGGGAGAAGGGAACCTGGACCTTCTTGATAAAGCTGCTCCCCCCATGACCCGACCCCGGATAAGCGAAAGAAAATGAGATGAGATCATTTAGCTTCGCTCTCTTTCATATCACAGCAGATTCTACAAAATAATGTATGCACTAATAGTAGCTCAAAAACAGACATCTACGTACTTACAACAATAGTAGGTCATCGTTTACATCAATTGTTTGTTGTAGTGACTCCAACGTCAATGCAAGGACAGCCAGTATCTTTCAGTTGAGTCCGTTTCCTATTTTCGTTTTGGTCCGACAGTCTTTTTGCAGTGATGCAATGGGGGCCAAACCGGCGGGAGAGGCTTGCGAATCTGGTAGGAGTTGCTGCCCATTGATGAGACCGCTGGCTCTCTCAGTACAATTCGAGAGTTTTCCACCTTTGAGGAGGTCAAAGTCTCTGATTTGGCACGCGGACCCACAATGAAGGACGGGGAAGTCTTGGGAATGATAGTGGTCATGGTCCGAGTCAAGGCTCGCCCTCTCTTCGACAAAGTAGCTGTTGAAGGCTTCTGTTTCTTGTCTTGCCCTTTGCACTCCTGTTCTTTGAGCGATGCCCTTTGAAATTTACATTCCAAGTCTTTGAGGGACTGCTCAGTGTAGGCCTGCATCTCACTGCGCACTTGAGAAAGCCGCTCTTCAAACTCATCCCTGAGTGCCTTTTTGGTATCTTCAAGCTTCTTCTCAAAAACGGCACACAATGCTTCATCTCTCAGATCTGCTTCGGCCTGGCTCTCACCTGTCACTTGTTCTCCCTTCTCCGGACACATGCTCTTCTCCAAAGATTGTTTGTCTTTGAGTCGGTTCACCAACTCAATGATGCTACTCTTCGAGGCCTTCACAGCTACTTGTGATCGGATCTGGCTGCGTACCTGCTGGAAAACAGATTGCACCTTTGCCTGCGTCTCTTTGTCGCCAGCGTCACATTTGTCCACGATTTCACTGTCCAGACTGTCCATGTTGAGCCACTCCTCGTGTTCCTCAGTACTGATCTGTATCTGTGGGTTCATCTCTGCTGATGGTTCCTTCATGTCTATTGTTGCTGCCTTGATATGTTCTCGTTTACAATCATATGAGTAGTGCTGGCTGGGGAGGGGTCTAAGTGACTCTGTTTGTCCCGAGAGAAGCTAAACACTCTGGAGGGTTGTTTAGCACTGCACTTTTGTCTAAAGCAGTATGACCTATTAAAATATGAAGCCAAATCAAATGAACAATGATTAAGATTTGGGCCAGCGTTTTCTTGAAATAAAATACAGCTTTTCTACGATTGAACAAATGCCCCTCTTCCATGTATTAACATATACTGATTTCATCCATAGTGTAGTGTTGTATCCCATGACAGCAGATGGCCTCCAGGTAACAATGAGAAAAACAAAGATCCCGGGGGGGCAATGGAAAGAGAACACTGGGCATGATTTGTAGTGGGGTTTTTTTTTTGGTGTTAGAAGGTACACTGAAAAAAAGTGAAACAACTGTGTCATTTATAAGTATACCATAATTAAGTACAGTGTCATATTGATCTAATAATTGAAATATACCTGGCATATACGACCAAACATGAGGAGTTGGAATCTGAGAGACTGTCACTTTTAAGAGAAGTGAAGAAATGAAACAATGGTGCAGTGGTGAAGGACAAAAGGGACAAGAGATTTTTGTTACCAAGACGGCAAGTTGTGGGAAAGGGAAGCAGAGTGGGCGAGTTCACAGAAACATTGCCTGCCTTGTTCACAATGGATGAACGAAAACACCCCTCCAATAGCAAATGTAAATTGTGACCTGCAACCTAAACGGTATCTATGATTTAAAGTGCTCATTTTGGCCTCAATGGTTAAAGGCTCACCACACAAGTGTTATGTAATCATGCTCTAATCCTTCTGGTGTTTTTTTTCTTTTTTAACAGATACAGACAGTAAATGCTGAATTCATGAGAATTACCACTGTTCCACTTTGACTAAAAGCCCTTGCTTTCACAAGAGGGCTGGGCAAATACAGTAAGTATATTATGATATGGGCTATCGATATCTATCCCAGCAATTCAGTGCTAAATTATAATTGCATTGATCAACATTTTTTAATTCAAAATATTATTGAATAAGTGGGGCTAAAGTGCCAAATCAATCAAGTATTTTTCTCAAAAAAAAAAAACAGGACTTGTCTCCCCCGACCCCACCTTCCACAAAATTTTTTAGATTTGGAAAAAAAATGGCTTATAGGTGAATCCATGAACACCAAATCACTAAATTGCAGAGGTGCTCTGCGCACTATTGAATTGTGCTATTTAGTATTTGACACGGGCAGCCCAGTGGTTACCACGTCGACCTCACAGTGCAGAGGTCGTGGGTTAGATCCCGGGCTCCAGCCTTCCTGTGTGGAGTATGCACGTTCTCCGCAGGCCTTCGTGGGTTTTCTCTTGGTACTCCGGTTTCCTCCCACATTCCGAAAAACATGCTGATTGAACACTCGCGCGGATGGTTGTTCGTCTCTGTGTGCCCTGCGATTGGCTGGCAACCGGTTCAGGGTGTCTCCCGCCTACTGCCCGAAGACGGCTGGGATAGGCTCCAGCAGCCCCCACAACCCTTGTGAGGATAAGCGGATCGGAAAATGAATGAATGAATAAGTATTTGACACCACAGATGTTTGTTTTGGCAGGCTTGTACAAAGGGTTGATCTTGTAGCTTTTAAATGTTTACTATGATGAAAATATTTTCAGAAGTTATAGTTAACCATAAACTGGATTTTGCACACATTACTCTGGTCCCCCCCCCCCCCCACCACCACCCATACTCCCACTTCGTTACCTCCGGAATCGCCAATATATGAACACATTGCCACACAAATAATGGACTGACGGCGCTTTAACGAGATATGATTTACTTCGTACGCACTGCATGAATTATTTTTGCTCTTCATCATTGATGTCCAACTGCTCATTCGATGTATTGCATCTGATTTGCTTTGAATGTAACTTTTTTTTTTTAATAACCATTTTCATTTTTGAAGTGTTAAACACACTTGCACTGTGGGGTTTGGCATTGAGGAGTGACCTGCCAGTGAGCCAATGAGAGTCCTGCACGGGTGAGCCTCCTCTTGCCACTAAACACTAACATGTGGACTTATTATTCTAGAAAACTGTCTGGACAACCATTCTTTTCTGTCCACTTTGCAGATTGTTGTATGTTTGTCAGCATGTTGTTTGCTATGTAAATTTTGATTAGAATTTGGAATGTAAACTAGAATAACTACTTTTAAATTAGGTTTTACATTTAATAGTTACATATTTAATAGTTGCAACATTATGGTTACGGTCGTTTTTATTCTGTCTATGGTCTATTTAGCTGGCGCGGGTTGAATATCGTGTATGTGAGTATGATTTTAATTGTCAGCATTATGAAACAAAGGGTGCCCCAAAACATCTGTACTCGGACTTATCTCCACCTCCCCCTCTAAAACCTCCTCCTCACTGTCTGGGAATGGCTTTAGCAAATTTCTGTCAGCTCTTCATTTCAAAGGTTAATCCAGACGATCAGGAAAGATCAGCAGGGCCAACATGGTGAGTTATTTTAGATCCCTTTTAAATATTTAAACAAAAATACAGTACACCTTGCATTTTCACACAAATATGATTGTGTATAACTGCTATTTTGTATAAAATAGTAATTTCTTTATGTGCTTTTCACCTGCAGACAACATACACTGACAAAGGCGAGAAGGTAGGAAAAAGAATTTGACTACGCATTTCAAAATCACTATTTATCATGAGTTCTTCTTGTCCATAGCACGAGCAAGGACAGTTCCTCTGCTTTGATCACTTGACTTTCTGGGTTGGAAATGCAAAACAGGTACGTTATGTTAGAACATATTTCCCAAAACAAATGTAAGACTTCTAAGAAGCTATGACTTCAGTAGTTTTTTTGTAATCTGGTTCCAAACAATGATTTGATTTTTGTAGTGTGTTAGATCAATACACTAACCGGTTAACAAGAAAACACTTTTTTTTTAGGTCATATGGGGCCTGGGTAATTATTTAAGCTTTTTGTTGCTGCTGATGTCGTTTGCTTTATGCTTATTAGAAGTAACATCGAGCAAATATTTTTACACTATCTATCTATAAGAACATTTATGTCGACAATGACAATGAATTGATGTGAATTTACTTAGGTTTTGAGCATTTTATTTTGAGTAACCTCAAATTGGGACCAAATTCCCACACCGTTAGTAGTCGTCTTTACGGTCAGCAACACGATTGGTTCTCTTAAGGGGTGGGACGGGGGGCATCCATCATGTCAAGTCACAGATCTCATCCTTTCCTTCTCGTGAGCACACTCACTACCAGCAGATGGCGCACACTGTCCGTTTCGAATCAGTCGTTGACGTCCCCTTCTCTGTACGTCGTCCACCACAAATCTTTTTCAATAGGCAGCCTCATTTTACTGCACCAAACTGGGATTTGAACCATTTGCTTACCAAGGCTTGGAAACAGGCAGTCGAGATGCAGTGTCCCATGCAGTCAAACAAGGAAAGGTAAGGAGACTTGGGAGTACACATAATCACCCCTGAGAAAAGATTAGAATAATTAATTCCGCCAAAACAGGTTCTTCATTAGAACTGCTATTCAATTAAAAAGTGGTGGATTACACGCAATGATAACAATGACTGATCAGTGGAATCGGAGTAGTTTGTGCCCTGATGATTGTTTTGTGTATTTCACAGATCATATATGTGTTCTCATCTGCTCTCAATCCCGGAAACGAAGGTAGAGAAACTGTCTTTGCATCTGGGTTGTAACAGCTTTGGATTCTAAATGATAGTTCAATTTTTATTTCATTCTTTTAAAAATGCATTTAATTTTAATTAGTTTTGAGAGGGTGTGTTAGATTTTTTTCAGGATTTTTTCTCCTGAAAATGCTGTTTTATTTTAGTTTGTATTAACTTTAGTTTCAATTTTTTTTTTTAAATTCAGAGCATTTTTAGAGTGCATGATAAAAAAAAAGTCACAAAGTAATGTGTAATAAAGTAAGGTGAACTACGATTCCCATACAAGTCTTTGATTTTGGTTCTATGGCGAATAAATACAGTCCATAAAAAAAGAATTCTGCTTTACAAAATTAACAAAATACTAAAATGAAGGACATTTTTGCTTTAATTACAGCTAGTTTTATCAATGTAAAATGGAACTTCAGTTCGTTTTCATTTTTTAAATACACTTCCATTTTTATTTTATTTCAGTACTGAAAATGTTTTATTTCAATGTTTAGTTTTAGTTATTTTATTAGTTTTCATTAAATATAACCTTGATATGAACTGAATTACAGATGTTTTTTCAAATTACCGTAATTTACTTACTAAATAAGCCTTTTGTTACGCATAGTAAGATTAAATTATCTCGATTGAGTTTCTCTGCACTTGTGCTCCCTTAATTTTACCTGACATGCTCAACATTTCCCTGAGAGTGTTTTCATCAAAACAAAAACTGATTTATTTATTTCTACTATTTCTCAGAAATGGGAGCTCATTTAGTGAAGCATGGGGATGGCGTGAAAGATGTTGCATTTACGGTGGAGAACTGTGACTCCTTGGTGCAGGTAATACACCAACCAGTCTTAGCAGAGGCCGACTTGACTTGAAACCGAATGAAAACCCGACTCACTAATATTTGACAGAAAGCCAAGGAGCGAGGTGCTATGGTTGTAAAGGAGCCCTACACTCTGGAGGACAAGCATGGCAAAGTCAGACTTGCTGTGCTGCAAACAGTAAGAGAACAATCATTCATTGAGTTAAATATTCAAAAATCTTTAAGCAGCATCATAACTTTGCTTTTCATGCAACAGTATGGTGACACAACACACACATTTGTGGAGAGGGCAGAATATAGTGGGCTGTTTTTGCCAGGCTTCCACCCGCCTCTATTTAAGGACTCATTGTTGGCCACCTTGTGAGTATCCCTCATTTATCAAGCCAGTGATGGATGCATGAACCAGCATTTGAAATGTGATGAAATGTTTAAATGACCTCACTTTTGACATTTTACTACAGACCAGATGGAAAATTGAACTTCATTGATCACATTGTGGGAAACCAACCCGAAGAGGAGATGGTTCCAGTGGTGGAATGGTGACTGTTTATTTTAAAGAATGCTGTGTTTAGAGGTTTTGTCATGGTAGAGGAATTATACCTTAGTCTGTCTGAAACTTACATAACCATTTTTTTGGCGCACATCATGGACCAGCATGACTTTGCGTTTTTCTGTCATGGGCCTCCAGTGGCTCTATACTACTGGACCGCGTTTTCACCTGTAACAAGCAAGGCCGTTCTCGAAATGAAGCTGGTGATTTGGAACACTGCTGGTAGGGAGGAGAGGCAACTGCAGATTTTTTAAAGGCGTGAACCTTGTGAGATGACTGCTGCCATGTGGGTTATTTGTTGCAACAGAAGAGAATTCTGCAGATGATACACGTACTGTGTGAATTTGAGACAAACTAGTAAATGTTTGGGCTGACCTGGCAATGTGCTCCTTCACCACTGATTTATCACCCAAAAGGTACCGGAAGAACCTTCTTTTTCACCGCTTTTGGTCAGTGGATGACAAGCAGCTACAGACTGAGTTCAGTGCCCTGCGCTCCATTGTGGTAGCCAACTATGAAGAGACAGTAAAGATGCCCATCAATGAACCTGCCATGGGCAAGAGGAAGTCTCAAATCCAGGTTTGTTTTGTCATTGGAACGGGTTAAATTAATGATGTGAATGCATTGGCTTCTGTCTACGAAGAGTACGTTAACTCACCATCTATGGACTTACAGGAGTATGTGGAGTACTATGGAGGTGCAGGAGTGCAGCACATTGCCATGAACACTTCAAATATTATAACAGCAGTAAGTCTATGAAAATAAGAGTCTAATCTGTCCCCCTTCTGAAATTCTAAATAATTCTTGCACAAAATACAGAAACATGCATTAGTTGTTCTGTGGCAAGAAGTAGCTGAAGTAAGTGATTTCTAGATACAGTATTTATATCTGGACACAATTTTCCCCCCTCTCTTGTCCCTCCCTATTGATGATCAACTTATATATGAAATATAAAAGATAAAACAACGTTTTAATCTTTTTTTTGTATTTTTGTACGTCTTCCTTGTAATGGTTAGCATTTTGTTTGATCACAGGCATGTTACAAGCTACATGAGTCAGCAAATTAGACCGTCAAGATTATTGCGCTCACCATGGGTAGACCCATCAGTCCTAATTTCTGTTTGTCTTATTTTTACAATGTTTTGAGCCCTAATGGTGTCTGTTACACAAACAAGCGCAACTTCATTACTCATATTTTCAGAAAAATACATTGATATCAATGCTTTTTTTATTCTATTTTATTCTATTGCCAAGTTTGTTCTTTATCAGTTACCACAGTTACCACAGAATCAAACACAGCTATTCTATTGCCAAGTTTGTTCTTTATCAGTTACCACAGAATCAAACACAGCTAGCATGTACTGTGCCTACCCTTGAGCATTACATTAGATTTACAACCCTGTTGCTGTAATTAAAGAAGTACCAAAATTAAATTAGTAATCTTTTAAAGGTAACATTGTTTAATTAACTGGAAAGGATGTATTCACCAGGCGGCACGGTAGTCACCTGGTTAGCACGTCCGCCTCACAGTACAGAGGTGCAAGGTTCAATTTCTGCTCCAGCCTTCCTGTGTGGGGTTTGCATATTCTCTCCTTACCCGCGTGGGATTTCTCTGGGTACTCCGGTTTCCTTCCACAATCCAAAAACATGCAAGGCAGGTTAATGGAACATAGAACACTCTAAATCGTCCCATGGAGTGATTGTGAGCCTGAATGGTTGTTTGTATATGTATACCAGTTCGGGGTGTACCCTGCCTACTGCCCGAGGACACCTGGGATGGGTTCCTGCACACCCGCAATCCTTGTAAGGACAAGTGGATCAGAAAATAGATGGATGGGGTGTCTTTTGTTAAATTCCATATTACTGCAGTGTATGTCAAAGTCGTTAGAAATTAGAAACATTTGTCTCTTAAACATGCTGATGAAACTCTGTCATAGATTTTAGACTAATCACACTTTTTTTTTAAGCGGATTAGAAAATGGATAGATGGATGGATTTATTCAGCAATGTTTTTTTTTAGATGGTTGATTACCTTTTTCCTGAAAACATAAAAAAATAGCATAAAATAGATGGCCAGTTTTGTTAAATGTTGCCAACATTGTCCTCTAGTTCTGGAATGACCTTGTCCTTTTAGCTGTGTTGAATTGTGCAGATGCAGTAAAACCGACTGGATATCATTTAAATATTTGCAGATCCGCAACCTAAAACAGCGTGGGACAGATTTTATGTCAGTGCCCGACACATATTATGACCAACTGAGGGAGAAGTTAAAACACTCAAAGGTGAAAATTGCAGAAGACCTAGATGTCCTGCAGGTAGGGTCACATTCTGTATTTGCATGACCATTTTGGAGAACATCCCAACACATGTGTCACTTATTATACTATAAAGAACATATTTTCCATCTATTCAGGAACTAAAGATCCTGGTGGACTATGATGACAATGGCTACTTACTTCAGATCTTTACCAAGCCAGTTCAGGACCGCCCCACTGTCTTCTTGGAAGTCATTCAGAGACATAATCACCAGGTTAGGACACTTATGGGTGGATATCTCTCTCTCTCTCTCTCTCTCTCTCTCTCTCTCTCTCTCTCTCTCTCTATATATATATATGTATATATACATACATATATACAGTGGGGAGAAAAAGTATTTGATACACTGCTGATTTTTTTTAGGTTTATATATATCTATTTCTATCTATATATATATATATATATATATAGAGAGAGAGAGAGAGAGAGAGAGAGAGAGAGAGAGAGAGAGAGAGAGAGAGAGAGGTCTATGCATATCTGTCATTCGATATACAAAGATATCTATAGATAGACAGATATCTATCTATTGATATCTCTGTATAGCTGTATACAGATCTCTCTCTCTTGATCGAGAGAAATATATAATTCACTTACATTTAATGTACATCTTCATACCACAGGGCTTTGGTGCAGGAAACTTCAAATCTCTTTTTGAAGCCATTGAAGCGGACCAACATGCCAGAGGAAATCTGACCATCCTCACACCCAATGGTGTGTCCAAGTGTATGTGAGCCCAGATTTGCATGTGCGGGCAATATTAAAGGTTATTAAACAATGTCAAGTGTACTACCAGCTCAGGCTGTTTCATGGATTGTACAAGTATGGTAAAGAAGCTCAGTATAAACACAGATGCTTACTTGTACCTGACTCTTTCAAGGCTTTTGTTTCATTACAATTCAGTGTTTACTCATTGGTCATGTCTCGTTTGTTTTTCAACAAATTTACAAGCACGTTAATGAGCCAAGCTTAAGTCAAGTAAAACACAATTGAACCTCTCGAAACTGAAAAAGTGCGTTATCATTTGCATCGTAAGCCTAACTGATAAATGTATGTACTTTGTCAAAGATGTCGGTTTAACAATGGCTTTCACATACTGTCCTTATTACCGTGATGTATAACCAAAGATAGCCTCCCAGAAGATGCCTTTGTAAAGTTTTTCCAGTGAGACTATAGCGTATACGTACATTGAATATTTAAACAAAAGTCAACAGGACTCTTCCATCATCACTTCATATTTCATCGTACAATAGCTTACATGCTGGTTGGGAATGTTCTGTCGGTCCTCCTGGTGCATCTCAGGTTATTTTTAACCTTCAAGAGAGCTGCTGGCAATGTCCGATTGTTATGTCTGAGGCACATCTAAATTGTCCGTGTTTGTGCAGTACCTTAGGCAATGTGCCTCTCCTATCTAAGATGTAAGACAGGCTGTCCAGATGGGATCAGTTCAAAGAGCCCCGACAGGCTTCAGCTCCACACAAACAAGGAATCTTTGTGTCTTCAATGGGAAACTTGTAGTCGTATGTGATTTCTTCATTGATGCCTATTGACTGCCGCGAGTAAATCACTATCTTCTTTTGAGACTCCACAGTGATGATCTTCGCATAGCAGTTTGGCTGTAAGACAAAAACACCCATTTGAAATTTCGATTAAGTGACAAACTCAACAGTGGCGAGTTGTACTCACACTGCAGCTGTGGTTGATGAATCTGGATAAATTCCCGCATTTCGTGGCGTCAATGATGGTGTTCTGATCCACCCGGAACAAATAGCTGCTTCCAATGCCTGCCTTCTCATATCTACGCTCTCTCATGTCTGCAATATTCTATATTAAGGGAAAACGACGTACAAATTAATTCATTTGACAACAGTAATGCTCATAATTTTCTGCGTTTCCTTCTTAGAGATGTTTTGCCAGGTCTTCACTGTAACAACTCTCACTTGTTGTTTTGTTTGTGGAGTTTGCTCCCTTTATTTTTTTCTTCATTAAATTAAATGTATGCTCATGGGGTGTGGTCACAAGAGGAGGAAAGAGCTTGAAAAACATGGTTAATAGTGGAGGGTTGGATGCGTACAATTATTTTTCTCTCACCTGTCTGATGATTTGTCCTACATATTCAATCACCATCTCCTCTGCTGCTATGGCTTCCATGGCAAACAGACCCCAATCATGGATGGGACTTCGGCTGAAACAAATCCTCTTTTCTCGGAACTGAAGAATGAAAATATGAAGAATGAATAAAGTTCATTATGGTTCCTTTGCACCAAACATATCTTTTTGAATTATGCCCAAGAAGTTCAACCTTGGTTTGATAATGCATTTTCTTATTTTTTGTGTGTTTGCGAGATTGTGATAATCCAGAATTTTTCCAGTACACAGTCGAGTTTCTAACTGAATCATGTTCCAAGTGGAGGTCGACCAGGTGCTCATTATGCTAACATTAGCCAGAAATGTCCACCCTGTTTTGGGCCACCCTGTCAGCAAGCTCACCTATTTAACTGTTTGCATGTAAATTGTCTGCTGTCAGTTTTTTTTACATTGAAAACAACATGGGAACTTGAACAATATCCATTTCTAACAGCCTAACTTCTACTTAATACAATTTATATTACGTTTAATGGAAAATCTCAATTTTGGATGAGGGGGGAGTGGAGACCTCTCAAAATCAGCTTACATTGATATTGACTAAGTTAACTACTAAGCTAACTAAACTACAAAGCAAAAAAAAGGACAGGAAAAGTGTTCTAGAACATCCTAAATTTTAGGTTAAATAGAGGACATAAGAATGTTGAGAATATGAAAATGAAGGTGATTGCATGTTCTCTCCGGGTCTGCGTGGGTTTTCTCTGGGTCCTCCGGTTTCCTCCCACATTCCAAAAACATGCATGGCAGGCTGATTGAACACTCTAAATTGTCCACAGGTGTGAGTATGAGCGCGGATGTTCGTTCCTCTCTGTGTACCCTGCGATTGGGTGGCAACCGGTTCCGGGGGTCCCCCGCCTACTGCCCGGAGACAGCTGGGATAGGCTCCAGCACCCCCCGCGACCCTTGTGAGGATAATGGATGGATGGATGAATGTGGCTGGTTAATTGTGAATACATCCATAATCTGCTATATGCGGAATGTTTTGACAGAACCAGAAAAAAATGACAGCTCATTTTCTGTGTATTCCTTGCGAATGGACATGACTGTTGCTTTATAAAATGTGTGTCACTAGTCTAACCACATTATACAGATTCTTATTTGGTTGTTTGTGTAATATGAATTAAGCAGCGAAATCCACGCGTTTTTTATCCATCTGAGAGTGCGACCATTTTGCCACCTGCTGTTGACTGAAAATGACACCACAGTGCCGAAGGGCTCAGGTAACGACTACAGTATCACGGCTCACATGTTTGTTGGGTTTGGTCATGTGACATGTCATTCATATTCCAGAAACGCAATATTAATCAGAATACTGTGTTTCGACTCAAGGGGGTGCATCGAACATGATATTGTAAAGAAAACTTTTGACCTGACTTCCCCTTTAGGTGATGGATTTATAGTTCACCTGCACTGCTACAGTCCATGCTTCATTTAAAAGTTGAAAGAGGTTAGTGAGTGTATTCTTCAGTTCACAAACCTTGAGTTGGTTAAACTTGACTAGGTCACTATCGCAGCTCAACGATGACAGCAAACGGCGCTGTTCTGACCTGAAGTCTGATCCGGCCCGAAGTACAGTAGGCTGTGTCAGAAGTTCCAGCTTGGAAAAGCACACACAAATGTTACACATTGTGATGACTGGGACACATAGACTCACATTTTGCTATGTTAAACACCTGAGAGCTTGTTGATGGAAGTTGAGTGGTTCTTGCTTGTTTGAGGTATTCAAGTTTATCCCTCCAGTTGATTTTGTAGAAGCCTTCGCTTCGGGCTGAGCCCGTGACGTGCCTCTGCTGACATGATTGGTGTCCTTCATTCTTCTCCATAACTTTAGTCGGTAAGCAACAGTTAAGCACATGATACACATACTGAGCCATGAGCCTTTTTATCACGTTGAACCAGTTACATACACCACATGCAAAAGGGAACAGCACCTTCCAATATGACTCAATGCTCACAACAAAGTGGTAAACAGAAAAGGATATGAGGATGAGGGATCCAGAGCGTGTCACTAAGCCAGCTACACTCATCGTCCTGCCCTTGCAGCCTTTCATAAGTGCACCGCAACAGTCTCCCATCCTCTTCATCCAGACCATCTTTCCATATACTGTGAAGTATCCTCCTCTCCTCCCGAACCGAACGCCACTTGCGAGCACAACTACGAGAAAAACGGTGGTTTCTCCAGCCCCTTTTGAGTCTCTTCCACCATTTACGTCTCATATTTGTATCTCTCCTACTTCCCTTGTAGAGGAGACCTGGCATGTTCTCCAGTCCTTGCAGAGGTATCGCTCTCATACCCGACCATGTTCTAACTCCTTCACCATCAGATGAAGACTCAGATAGGTGACATGGAGATGACATTCCAAGGAATTCATCCCATAAAAGAGGTTGTGAGGTGTGCGCTTTTTCAGTCTTTCTTCTGTGGACTGAGGCTTTTCGTGGTAGAAGGATATCTCTTCCGGGAGTCTTTGGTGCTAATATAAATGGATTGCTAAACGGTGATGAGTGTGTGTGTGTTACCCTTGCATCCTCTGGTGTAGTGCCCTCAGAATTTGGACTTTTTGAGATCCTCTCACCTCTGTTAGGATCCCACACACTCGTGTCTTCTCGACCTGGGGTTTTGGGTGTTTCCGGGAAAAACAAAGATCTATCTGATGGCAGATGTAGCTCACTGATAGTACGTGAGAGATTGTCATCTTCTGATTCTTCTCTTCCTAATTGAGAGGCTATCCCTTTGCCTGGGGTCCAGGGTCGTTCCACCTCCACCGCAACTGGGGATGTTGGTTTGCTTCTGATCAAAAAGTCGGGGTCACTGTCAAAAAAGCGGCCAGTAGGAGTGAGAGGCCTCAAGGTATACTCCGGAGGACCCAAGTTCCATTCATGTCTCTCCTTCTCCAGATCAAGTTCAAGAGCCACTGCTAACGAGACAATAAAAGAGCACATCAAACAATTTTATGTTGTTTGTACAGATCAATCTTTAAATCTTAAGAGAAATTACCTGGACGTCCAGTGTGTGATGGAGGCTGTAGCTCCTGTGCCTTTGTGAAATGCAGCTGCATCATTACCTGCTCTTGGTGCAAATACTGGCTCTCCTCTGCTTTCTCCATATTAGACAGATCTGACAAGTCCGCGAGTTCCATATGAGCACCAGGGGTGAGTGGGGCTGAGGGTGTCACAGGAGGCTCAAGCTCCATGGACTCCTCGTCGGATGATATGACAAGACACTCCAAACCTTCACCATCCTTGACATTGTCTCCTAAATCATCATCCTCATCATCATCAGAGCTGAAGTTAGAGTAGGATGAGTCGCCAACGCTCTCTGAAGTAAAAGAATCAGGGAAGTCTGAGTCGGATGAGCAGACCTCAGAGGAGCTGGACTCTGAATACATCTCTACAAAAGCACAACAAAATGCAGTAAATATACTACAAGGTACAGTAGCAGACGCTTCTACTTTTCAACATACCACTGCCAGAGGAAAGAACTTCACCAAGAACTGAGCAGGTGTCTTCTGCTTCCATGTCTTTTTCGATCGACTTCTCTTTTTCCGGATGATTGCCATCAACATTGTTGATATGGTCTTTTCTGTCACACTGAGATACAGAAATGTTATCATCATCAATGTCTGTTACGTTTGTCTCTCAATGCGTGCCAATGCGTGTCGTGCATAAAGGCAAAAAAAATGTCAATGCCGAAATACTTGTACAGCTATACAGAAAAAAAGGTTGTATTTTTATTCCTTCGTATAAAACTTTGGGTTTTCTTCAAAATTAAAACGTGTTGTAGAACTAAATTTGTTCCATGACTTACTCTCTGCTTTTGCAAATGCAACAGAAAAAAATAACCAATTACAGGAATCAATAATGATTGGTTTTCCTGTAACTTGTCATTTACCAAAATGTGCACTGCATCTTCTTTGGGCCCAGCCTGTTCCTCTTTGTCTGTTGCAATTTCCCTTTCCTCGGCTTGATGTGTCTTCTGTTCTTCATTTCTTTCATCATCATCATCACTATCGAGATCAAGCGGTCTTGCATGTCTGCGTTTGCGTCTCTCAAATGTTGATTCCGACATATTATCCCCTTGGGTTCCATCTAAAAGCATCACATGAAAAAGGGTACGTGGAACAGTAGTTGAATTCATTTATTTAAAAAAAAAAATTACTTACCAGAATCTTTACTTTCTAGCACTTCTGATGTTGCAGGATTCTCACCTCTTTTCTTCTTAATCTGCATTGCCAAACATTTTTTTCAATGTTCAATTCTACTGTTTTATTACAAATCTAATGCTTACCTTGAAGGAGGAAAGGGAAGGTTTCTTGCGCTCGCCAGTAATGTGATTCAGAGGACTTACACATTTGTTTTTCTTATTATTTAAAGACACAACTGGTACCTTTCGTAGATAAAATATCAGTTAAAAGAAGTGGACGGTAACAGATGCATTATGAAAAAAACGAAGAAGAATTCACCTTGGTTTTCTTCTCTTGATTGTCCCACCAGTCCTCAAACACCTTGAATGCCACTCCCTCAATCATTCTGCGAGTGATGTCCCTCTTGATAATTGACTTCAGTTCATCCATGAGCACAGTTAAAACTTTTCCCACTGTGACTTTACGTGGGTTTTCTCTCATGAGTGTGTTGTCTGATGGTGGCATTAAAGGGTTGATACAAGGAAAAGGTGAAGTGGCCCAGGGCGGTGCAGAAGGCGGTAAGGGAACATTTCCGAGCCTTGTTGGGTTGCACTGGTCCAAAATCAAACGAGGTCGTGGGGATGACGGGTACGTGTGCACAGAGCATGGCATCAAAGGAGGCCGGAGTGACGGGGAATTAGAAAGTGGTTGAAAGCGTATGCTACTGTGATGGCCTGGAGGAAGGGTCCAGCCTGGAGGTGGAATGTGAACGATGCCATTCGGCAGGCAAGGCGGAACAGGGGCAAATGAAGGAGTGAGGAAACATAAAGGGGCAAATGGTGGATGGTGACCTGCAGATGTGATGGCAAGTGGATGTTTGGACTGCTGAGTGTTGCAGGGAGGCTGAGCACAAGATATACCATCTTTCAACACGTCACAGTTTCCTTTGTCCACATTTGATAACTGAAGCTCCTGAAAGAGACAAGAAGAGATCTAATTGACCTGACAAATGAGAGAAAGTTGCAAGAGTGCAATACAACTCAGAAAAATATCACAATGTTTTTGTGATTAAGAGAATAACTACCTTAGGACATGGTGCCAGGGACCTTTCTGCATCTGTCTTACTGTTTCCATCTCCGCTTCCTTCAGAATGTGTGAAATCTAATGGAGAGGGGCATTGTTTATCTCTTTGGGATGTAAGAAAAAAAACAGCTTGGGAAGTTTCATCCTCCTCGAGGAGTGGTGTTGGATTGACATCTGCCAAAATCTTATTTGGGCCATCTGAGAGTGGGGAGTTCTGGAGTGAATATGGTGAGGTTGGGCGGTCCTCACAGAACACATCGGCTTTCAAAGTATGTGAACTTTGGCTGTTTGTCAGCAAACTTTGTATTCGGGCATCTAATGTCTCTCCCTCTGGTTGCGTACTTGTAGGGATAAAGTTCACTGGGGATTGAGGTAAATCTGCATGGTTGTCGTGTGGGAAAGTCACTTCTGCCTGCTTGCTGGCTGCCAAGTTGAGGCACAAGAGGCTCAAAGAGTTTGTAGGTAACACTTTTGAGGTGGTTGTGACCGCATTCCTCGACCCTGGGCCAGGGGATACAAGTTCTGAGGAATGCTTTGCATGATTCTGACCATATGGTGCAAGCTTCTGCTTGCTACTCTGAGTAAACAGTGGGAGGGAAGGGTGAGGTTGGCGGTTCTTTAATTTTAAGTTTACCTCTGAGACTTCACCGGCTCCCCAGTAAAACCTTGGGAATTTACGACAACAAAGTTCTCCTCTGATTGGTTTGTGAACGCTGCAAGTCGTGGGCTCCCCCTGGAGGATCGGAGTGCTCTGAAGACTGGAATAGCATGAGTCCTGGGAGAGTGGAGTTGCAGAAAAGCTAGGGGTGTGTGGAGTTCCCTGTGAACAAGGAGTTAATCCAAAGCTGGAAGGTGTATCCTGACTAATACTGGAATACGCTGTGTCAAGTGAGAGTGGAGTAATGAAGCTGCTTGGGCTTCCTTTTCGCTGTGGGGCTGAAGTGCACTGCAAGAAATAGGTAAGCAAATGTCACATTTCATCACAGTCCTAAAATATGGATTCAGTCACTTTTTTTTTCCAGACTAAAACCTGAATCAAAATTTGATGTTATATTCATTCACAATTAGTAATATAATTAACTTTGCATGACTTCCTCAACTGAGTGCATAGGTAATTTTAGTAGAAGCAATATTGCTTTAGTCAACGATGATGAAATTATTTCGTTAACGCCCCTTTTTTCATGATGATAACGAGACAATGACTAGTTAAATGTGACTCTTCGATGACTAAAATATGATGTGACGTGAGTTTTCCTTGATGAGATGAGACTGAACGAAATTGTTCTGTCAGACATTGAAAATGCATGACATCTCTTCTTATTATGCAGGTAATCTGTCATTTGCTTATTCTAAAAGAAAAGGTGGAAATTTGATTTAAAACAGCAATCTAAGTTTTGTGGGGAAAATAATTCTGAGATTTTATTTTAAGGCCATATCGCTCAGCCCCAATTCAAGCAGTCATGTAGTACTATAAATATCACAAAAATTTGGGATGCACACATTTTTCATCTGATATTTTGTGACGTTTTCTTGTGAGAGAATTGTCTTTTTTTTTTTTTTTAAATAACCATCATGAACAACATCTTGTTTGGTTGAATCCAAATCTGTTCAGAGTGCTCACCATTCACTCAAGAAATAAAACCACACAATAATTGTACTGCATGTTCGCAAATACTGCACATACCAGTATATTGTCGATTACATTTCGATAACTTTTGTCATTGCTACCCACTGGTAAGCTCCACGGAGTGTAGACACCCTCATAGAGAAGTTTGAGGTAGCGCACCCTGTTTTCACCTGTTGAATGATACCCAACAAGTCACTATAAAGCTAAGAAAAAACATTGTAAAATTAATTCCTTTCAACATGTAAGTGGAAAAGCCTCCTTACCTTTTGGATCAATTTCCACATGGATAATGTTGCCCATCACTGATGTGTGATGAAGGTGATGAACAGTGTCCTTTGCAGCCCTCACAGTGTCAAAAACAACTTTTGCGATACCTAAATGCTTCTTGTTCTTTGGATTGTAGAAAATTTCCACTTCTTCCGTGTGGCCATATTTCGTACACATATTAGTCAGGAAGGCTTTGTTGACGTTGTCATTTAGCCTGCAAAATGTCACTTCTTTCGGAGGAACAGGGCCAATGTAAAACTCATCTATCTGAAAGGAGACATACAAAAAAGAAATTACAGGGCAATGACTGTGCTTGTTCACAAAATTATGGTGGCATAAAGGCTACCTTAAATCTGGGAACCGAAAGGTCAGTCTTTACGCATTTACTCCACATGCGGCAGATGCGTGGATCTTTCACTGAATCAACTGGAAACAAACCCAAGTCATCAACCTGATGTTGGGAAGAAATACACCTGTTATGGGTTTGTTTATGGCGAGGGATGTGAAGAACAATAATGTTTTGAAAGGCTTACGGCAATATTAAAATCGTGCCCATCATAGCGGTACACTTTGTACAGTCCTTTTGTGAGAGCGGGATCAATAATCAGCTTGCAACTTCTCCAGGGCTGACGTGGTGATTCTCTCTCTAAAACTCGTTTTTCGCTTTCCATTACATTCGTCCAAACCTGCAATTTTGAGAAATACACCCTGCGATTGCAATTTGCGTCTGCAAAATTCGCGATTCGCTCGTTACTGATGGAGGTTTATACGCCCCAACAGGTGATGCGGTGATGCAAACAGCATCCCCTGTAAACTTGTCTCTACACACACGAATTGCACTTGAAAGCCAAAGCAATTTTTCAAACCGAAATAAAATATATTAACTACTTACCTATGTTTGTATCTTTTGATGCACCGACATTCTATATTCGACTTTTTTTCAGCCAGGTGTAGACTGCGTACGTTGCCCAGGTTGGTGGAGAGATCCATCCGCCATGAGTAAAGTAGTTCTTTCGTCCAGGCGGAGGAGCACGTCGGAAAAGCGAACAAGTGACGAGCCCAGTGCTTCGCAGCATTTTCTGTAACCACGCGTCGGCCTACCCCGATCACTCATACGACTTGATGATTCTGAGAGGTAAAACGTAACACTATTTTAAAAATCATCTATTTCCATCTCCTTACGTTGAGCATTTAATTTTCAGGCAGTTTCTTCTTTTTGATTCAAATGAAACATGAAAATAAATCATATGTTGCCTTGAAAATCAATAGGCAATACTGTTGAAATCAAAATAAACAATAAACATTCATTTCTTTTTTATAACGTTTACCACAAAAAATGGGTCTCACTTGAATAAGTCCCCTTTACACAGGAACTTAAACTTTAATTATTGGTGAAAATGTATTTCCAGATTATTAATCTGGAAATACATTTTCACCAATAATAATGTATAATGTAAATAGAATGCAATGTAAACACAACAGAGACTAATGCAATGCAGTAACATCTTATTACTCGGTGTAATGCTGATTCAATTGGCCCAACAGCAAAATAATAATTTGTATTGGTCAGATCTTAAAACTGCTATGTCAAAAAACTAACAACAATTATTTGGGTCAAAAATGGACCAACCTGCTACATTGGTTGATTCGAGTTGGCTGATTGTGATTTCGGTCCATTTTTTTTTACCCAAATTGGGTTATTTTTGATCCAGCAGTTTTAACAGTGATAGTCGGTGCATGAGCCCATTAACAGATGCTAATGTTTATGTGATGCCCCCCTCCCCTCAAAAAAGAAAATAATATCTTCTGCAATGAAAATTTAAGGATGGTGAACAATAGATTGAATTTAGCTCTGCCAAGTGTCTTCAGAAAGGTTTTTTTTCTGTTTATCTCTGAGTTGTTTCATAATATATCCTGACCGGATAGTGCAGCCAGTTAACGGGTGTACATGTCTTTTCTCAAAACACAAGCCAGGAAGAATCTGAAGTTCACAACACACAACACGTCACCCAGCAAGAAGACATCAAGGTTGTTTTCGTATGACAGCCCACTAAATCTAAGTTCTTCCAAGTATTTCCAGCTGTAAGACACTACAAAGCTGACAAAACTTGAGCATTTTTCGCAACATTATTTTAACGCCATTGTCCCAAAAAGGTATCTTTGCATGACACTAATGAATGGTGTTACCACAGTATGAAACTTTCATATCGAGTCATAAAGCGGTGTGATTTTGCCCCTTCCAAAAGGTCATCATGTTAATCTGCAAGATTATCATTAATGTTTAGACAGTGCATAACATGATTTTGTGGACACACTCCTGTCTTTGAATTTTAACACCATATAAGGAATTACTGGTAGTACAAAGAGGTAGGTAAAAAGCGGTTAAGTAACACAAAATGCGTTTTATTTTGAAATTGGCAACAAACACCACCTTGGTAAAGCTCACCAGATTTGCTGCACTACATAGTATACATTCATGGAACCTCTGTATAAACCACAATACAGTCAGTTGAATAAATAAACCACAAAAGTCAACCTATGGAACAGAGCAATTATCTGTTCTAAACAAGTCACAAGAGGTGGGCTGAGAGGCTCTTTGCCCAAGATTGTCACGTGACATGACCCAGAGTAAGTGATATTCATATTTGCATACCAGCATGCATGTACTACAAGACTCATTTCAGCATAACCAGAGGCTTGGTGCCCAAACAAAAGAATATAAGAAAAACACATGAACATAATTCGACATGTGCCACCACAGGACAACAATGTACATACCACATGAAATAAAATTTGCAACATGTGAACATGCTAAAGTATGTAAACTATCAACATTTGCAACACGCAAGCATGCTGAAGTATATAAACTATCAACTCAGATGCATTTTCCAGACATTTCCAAAAAACATGCATAACTTTGACAATCTGGAAAAATGAAGAGCATATTTATTAATTGTTTTTTTTAAACAAATGCTGTGAAGAGTTTTCTCAACGCTACCATATGAATATAGCTGCAGAGCTGTGGCTGAAGGAGTTCCATTTCATAATTTCTGTTAACCACTTAGGATGTTTCTTGCCGCTAAGATGTTGCTAATTTACAGTGCTCAACATAGAGTAATACATGCCCCATGAAAGGTCTGCTTTTAATCTATTATTCATTAAAGTACAAGAACAAAAGTTATTTTGATGATTGGGTTTACTATGACAGTCATTAATTTTATTTTTTTGGTTTAATGTTTGTCTTTTTGTTTTTAACCATGTAAATGGGCTTTGTAAATCTTCATGGTGAGAAGTGGTGCATAATACAACGTACGTTGTTTTAATTTTCTTTTATCTAAAATATATCTTCTCATTTTTTAAACATTGTAACAATAAATTAAAGTGAAGAGGAAAATACATTTTTGAGTCCACATTGACAATCTCATTCTAAATGAGGGCCGCATGCATATAGGATAGTATGCCATAGAATACAGTATATTGATTCTGAAAGGAAACTCAACTCAACAACTGTTTCGACTAATTTATGTTGTGCACTCACAGGTAAGGTAGTTTTTGGTTCCTTTAGTGAAATAGTCATTTTGATTATGAATTAAAGTATGCAAAAAAAGTCTTCAGTGATCATATAAGTGGAAAGTCTAACAACCCTAAAATAATGCATCACATAAAGCTCTAAATAACTCGCTGCGGAGTACTTTTGTAAATAAAATTACTTCATTTGATGAGCAACGTTCTAATTTTGAGAAATT